CAAAATTTGTAGGTATATCCCATTCGAGACCTATACATACGGAGAAAAAAGTGTAACTATATGTTCTGTAACTATAGATAATTAACTACGCAAATGTACATATTCTTATAGTGTTATATGTCGTAGGTAAAAGATCAATGAACCTATATTTACATTTAAAAAATAGTAAGTAAAACAAAATACCTACGATATATATCCGTAAGTAAAGAACAATAGCAACAACATAATCATGGTTGTCGTATTAACTTTTAATAACTATATTTATTATTACTAAACTTATTTTATAGCAATATCATAAGTCCTTACCTAAAGAATAATTTTACAACAAAAATAAGTTGTTATGCAAAATAAGTTCAACACCCAAAAAATGTTGCTACGAAAAAGAAATTATGCAACTAAATTAGTTATTATTAAAAGTATATTTTCACAACGATTACAATTATTACCAAAAAGAAATTTCTCTACATCATAAATTATTTTAGTTAAATAGTATTGGGGCCAAGCCTACTACGTGGGATATAAAAATCTCTCTACCATGTTGAGTTGTTGGTAAAAGATTTATTATACAACTATTATAATTGTTGTAAAAACTTGTTACAGCAACCATTTAAAATGTAGGTAAAAAAGGTTTTTCTTAACTTTCTAAATTAGTTTAGAAAATGAGATTTAGCAACAATTATATGTGGCTACCATATAATAATTTAAACAACGTCATTCATTGTTTTCTAAAATATGATTTAGTAATACTAATGAATGTTGCAAAAAATATATTTTCTCTACCTTGTTGGACTGTTGGTAAAGATTTATTATGCAACTATTATAATTATTGTAAAAAAAATTGTTACAGCAACCATTTAAAATGATGGTAAAAAGGATTTTTCCTAACTTTATAATTTAACTTAGAAAATAAGATTTAGCAACAAATATATTTGGGTATTATATAATAATTTAAACAACATCATCCACTGTTTTGTAAAATATAATTTAATAACAATATTAACAGTTACACTAAAAATATATAGAAATATGAATGACTGTTTTAAAAAATGTATTTTCTAACTACAAAATTAGTTTTTAAAAATATATATCATAACTAAAGTGTTTGCTATCTTAAATTCTATTTTAAAACAAATATAATCACTTTAAAAAATAAATTTAAAATCAACAATTATTGTAAAATGGTGAATTTCTCAACAAATATTTTATGATATAATATCTTAGTTGTAAAAAGTCATTAAATATAATAATTTAGCATCAATCAATATATATAATTAAACTATTTTTAAATTTTAATATCAATTAAATAACTTCAACAGCATAATTAATTGAATTTACATTAATAAAAAAATAAGATTATAAAACTAAAACACTTTATTAAATTAAAAATAATATTCGTCAAGATATAAATCTAAACAAAATAAATCCTCCAAAAAAAAGTATTTACACTTTATATTTATTCCAAATTTGTAAAATTATCTTTCCAACTATTGTCATTCTCTTTCTCATACTGTAATCGGATATTATTTAGTACTTCTTCTCCATATTTTTCTCTTTCTGCCAAAATTTCACTCATTTCTTTCTCGAGAGATTGCAATTTCTGTTCTAATTCTCTGATCCTCATTTGTTGATTCAAAAGCTCAGATAAAAGTGGACGTTTGCTACCATTACCAACTCCTTGGTTAGAGCTCTGCTGCAAAACATGATCCTATATATCTTTATTTGACATTTCAATTCCTTTTTTTGCATTTTCATCTAACAAATGTTGTATGCGTTCCTGCAATACATATATAATATGTTATTCATTTTTCTTCCAAAAATATAAAAAATAAAAAATTGTGAGTAGATGTTTTTTTTATCCATTAAATGCAAGGTGTACCCTATCTGCTTAATAGAATTTAAATAGGTGAAATTATCTTATTTTCATATTTTAGTCCCTTTTTTTTTCCCACTCAATCAATGGCATTCGGTTTCTATAAACATTAAAAAAAGAACACAATTTCCATGTCTAACTCTTATCGGCTTAATCCGAAAGCGTGAAACCAAGAATCAGATTTCTACTATTTTCTTCCCACCAGACACATTCTCCTCAACAGTGTGCTATAAGCTTTATCCATTTAGGTGAGAATCTTGTTTCTGTTTACATTGATTGCCCTGATAATCAAGACTGCTCTCTATATGGGTTTGATTTTTGTGCCAATTATGTTGATCTTGTGTGGGTTTGGATTATTGTTGTTGTGGAATTTGTGGGTTGTGGGGTTTTGAGGATTGAATGATTATAAGTCTTATTATTTTTGCACTCAAAGTGTTTGACGAAATGCTTGTGAGGGGCATGGTTGTTGGTCATAGTTTATTCACCTTAGAGTTCTGCTTGGTGGATTATTGGTTAGACTTTAATTTGACTTTGTAGTTTCAATTTTTTGTTGGGCAGATAAATTTCGTCATTAATGGGAAGGCGTAGGAGATTGAGAAATTCAATTAGAATTGTCAAGAAAGTCACACTGTCGCAACCCCCCAATCACACTCTAGTTCGGCAGCCAACTGTGGGTCTGACACATCATGAACATCTTATTACTACACATCAAAACATGGGTGAATGTATACAGTCACCAGGCAAAGTATGATTCTGTACTCAACCTCTCCAGTATGATTCTTTAAATTTTAATTGTCTGAATATTATTTTGACAAGCCTTCCTCACTATGTACACCTACCTTCAATGCAATGAGACTCTGCTTTCTTGGTTAATCAAAACAAGCTTGTTTGTGGTTTTATACTAGAGTTTTGAAACAGTCAAATCCTGCATGGTGTGGTTTATAGATATGTTGTTATTAACTAAGGGAGCATCATCTAGGGACAACAAAACTGATAAATTTTAATAGGCTGAATAGAAGAATCTAGAGGATTGACTCTGAACATCAGGATTTATTCAACACAAAAAGGGCCAGTGAAAACGTGGAATATTTTCTAATTTGCCTTTTACACCTAATCCTAACTCTAAAGGCTCAATCTTTAATTCAAACACAAAACACAATTCTCAACCTTGATCCAAACTCAGTTTTAATAGATTCTAAAAGATCTCTTAGTAATCAAATGGATACTAATCTATCCACTAAATCTCCACCATTTTATCTCTTTATGGGAGAAGCCGCAACAGTGATACTCTGTCCTGTTTAAAATCAACCACATCAATAGATATCACTGTGACCTGCATAAAATTTACATCCAAAAGAGATCCTTGACAAAGTTGTAGGCAATGGTGTTAAGATGCTTCCTTTGAACTTCTTTTGAAATACTATTGGGTTTTCAATTCCATAGTCAAGTAGGCTTGGTTGGTTTTTTTT